TTATTGACGCTGTCGGAAAGCTTTTTATACAGAAATTATAAGCCCTGACGTCCTCAACAAGAAAGATTCTATGAATTTTTCTTCTAACTCGAGTATTTAACAAGTTACATATGATTATTTGGCATTTTATTGATGTTGACAAAATCCGACCATTCCACCGTCAAAACAGCGAACTTTTGGTCAAAAATTTCGTTTTTCGCCAATAACTCCTAAACCGTTGGTCGTACGGGAAAATTGTATAAAACCTTTCTTGTAGAGGACGACGAGATCTATAATTTCCATATAAAACTTTCTCGCTAGCGTGAATAGTTTACGAGTTATTAACGAAAAACGAAAAAACAGTTTTTTGCAATTTACTCATTAACTATTGATGCTAGCGAAAAATTTTTACATGGAAATTGTAGATCTCATCGTCCTCTACAAAAAAGGTCTGATGCAATTTTCCCGTAGAACCAACGGTTTTGGAGTTATTGGCCAAAAACGAAAATTTGGAAGAAATTGAAGGTGTACCCCTTGGAAAAATCTCGGAAAAATTGAAAATTTTTTTGTTGTTGTTTATTATTAGCAATGTTCTTCCGACGTCTGATTTCTTTTTAAAAAATGCGTTTCTAAAGTGTATAAACTTTTGTGCTTGACTGTATAGCCAATATATCCTTAAGTGCATACTCACAGCTTCGTTCTTTTGCTTTTCAAACTCAGCTACGCATTGGAGAACTAACTCTGAGTCTGGCGGAAGACATCCTTCGATTTCCTCACCATCCAAAGCACCAATTTCACTATCATCATACGCTGCATACATCTGTAAGAAACAGTAGTATGATCTTGTCGAGGGACAATTAAAAGGTACAATGAAAGACACTCACTCTCTCGAATTTATCATCGAGAAGTTTCAGTTGTTCATTTCTTCTTATCACACTGCTGCTCATAGAATATTCTGTAAACCTCGATTTTGTTTCTTCGTCCTTAAATGTGAATTGAGGACCATTTAAACTGTGTACTTCATCTTGTTCTTCATCAGAGAATTCCATTTGTCCTTCAGATGAAACATCAGACCTTTCTTCTTCTTCAATTTCGCTACAATCTGCATTAGCCAGTTCTATAAAATTGTCTTCTAACTCATTTTCTGGGTCATCAAAATTGAAATCATCATCCATAGCAGCAACTACATCAGGATCCAAATCCAGTCGCAATCCGGAAACTGGGGCTGCTTTATTCAAAAGACCAACTTTTTCTTCCACATTTGAAGCGAATACAGAGGATGGTAAATTAATTTTAGGGGCATCTTTCTGTTCCTTCAACTTTGAAGGTACAGAGTCCACACGTTCCCATTCAGTTGTCAAGGTACTAACGTCCTTAAGATGTTGCAAATAATCGTAATCATCGTCGAAGTATATGCCATATTTCTGCTGCTCCGTTCGACGTTTTTCGTCATCCACATTTTTCTTTTCGGACTTAGTAGGTTGCGATTCAACAGGCACGAGTACCCGCTGAGGTGCAGTTTCATCGGCAACTAACGGATCTCGTTGCGAACGATGAACCAAATGAAACGTTACCGAATTTTTCTTGTCGATAAATTTCTTCGTCTTTCCCTTCGGTTAAACAGTGAAATAATTAAATGATAAATAATATAACCCCATGTACAAATCGCATAATTCGTCTGTCGTATGAAACTTACCATTTTTATTGCTTCTCAGTAATTGAAGGTCGAGAAGAAATAATTAATAGAATATACTTCTTGATATCTTTTACAGAATAAATTCTGTAAACAGTCTTACGGTGATACTTCCAGAAAACAGTGAAAACACAGACACACGTGCTTACTGTTGGGCTTGACGGTCTTCTTTGTTGTTCTAAAATAGTAAAATATTAAAGTGAATCGTGCTCCAGTCACACCACACCACCACTATCAAACTACGACCACTCATCAACTCATGTTACAATACAATTTGGTAGTTTGGTAGTAGTGAGAGATCAGCCATGTTGAGCGAAGCGTTGTCGTGATTCCGATGTGGTTATTGCTAATTATTAAATAAATAAGGACAATCAAGAAGAGTTGTTCAGTTTCCTTTGAACTGTAGTAAAACAGCATAAGTCAAAATGCCGCGTATTATGATAAAAGGTGGTGTTTGGCGCAACACCGAGGTACGAATCATTTCCTAACCTATACGATTCTCATTACGAGAGATGGATCAGAAATAAAAATTGTTTAATCTTTACAGGATGAGATTCTGAAAGCTGCTGTTATGAAATATGGTAAAAATCAATGGAGCCGAATAGCCTCTCTTTTGCACAGAAAGTCTGCTAAACAGTGTAAAGCACGTTGGTTTGAGTGGTTGGATCCGAGCATTAAGAAAACAGAATGGAGCAGAGAAGAGGACGAGAAGCTTCTACATCTTGCAAAATTGATGCCTACACAATGGAGAACAATTGCGCCAATTATTGGCCGGACAGCTGCACAGTGCTTAGAACGCTACGAATATTTACTGTTAGTGAACATGTTTCGTAAATTCAGATTGATATATTTGCAAAGGCCATGTTTTGCATACTTTATTTTGATATCAGGGATCAGGCACAAAAAAAGGAAGAAGGAGATGATGCTGCAGACGATCCTAGGAAACTGAAGCCAGGAGAAATTGATCCAAATCCTGAAACAAAACCAGCCAGACCTGATCCTAAAGATATGGATGAAGACGGTAAGATTCTATTCTACAAACTGTTCTTGTATGTAATCATAATAACATTAGCAATTTGCAGAATTGGAAATGTTGTCTGAGGCACGTGCCAGGCTTGCAAATACTCAGGGAAAGAAGGCAAAACGTAAAGCTAGAGAAAAGCAATTAGAAGAAGCACGGAGGCTAGCTGCTCTTCAAAAGCGTAGAGAATTACGAGCTGCTGGTATTACGGTCTCGCAAAAGAATAAACGTAAACGCGGCGTCAATTATAATTCTGAGATTCCTTTTGAGAAACGGCCGGCTGTCGGGTTTTACGATACATCGAACGAGCACGTGGATCCACTTGCTATTGATTTCTCGAAGATGCGGCAACAACATTTGGACGGAGAATTAAGGCAAGAGAAAGAAGAGATGGAACGTAGGAAAGACAAACAGAAGTTAAAGCAGCGTAAGGAGAATGATATACCAATGGGAATGTTAAATAATGAGGAGCCAGTGAAGAAGAGAAGTAAACTTGTTTTACCGGAACCACAGATATCCGACCAAGAATTACAGCAAGTAGTCAAACTTGGTAGAGCGTCGGAAGTTGCTCGTGAAGTGGCTACCGAAAGTGGTATCACATTATCGGACAGCTTATTAGCTGATTACTCTTTACCGACGAATGCAGCTGTGACTCCTCGCACTCCAGCCGCTACGGATAGAATCCTTCAAGAAGCACAAAACGTTATGGCTCTTACTCATGTCGATACTCCATTGAAAGGTGGATTAAATACTCCATTAAATAAGTCTGATTTCGCTGGCGTCGTGCCTTCCGCGAATGCCGTCGCAACTCCGAATACGATTCTAGCCACGCCTTTCCGTTCGCAACGCAGCGATGGGACACCGGCTAATTCATTTAACACGCCGGTGTCAGCACGAACACAGAACGGAGTTTTAGCAGCCACGCCAGTTCGTGATAAACTCAGTATTAATCCGGACGAAAGCTTAGACGGATCGGAAACTCCGTTAATTCAGAAACAAGTAAAGGAACAGTTGCGAGCCGGTTTGAGCGCGCTCCCAGCACCGCGTAATGATTACGAGATCGTAGTTCCTGAAGGAGAAACAAAAGACGAGGATGGTGCTGCGATGGCTGCAGAAGTCGTTGAGGATCAAGCCGATATAGATGCTAGGCAACAACAAGAATTGGCAGAACAAAGAAAAAGAGAATTGGCAAGGAGGTCGCAAGTCATACAACGGGATTTACCGCGACCAATTGATGTAAATATGAATATCTTGAGACCGTTCATGGATACGCCATTAACGGATTTGCAAAGAGCAGAAGAACTGATTAAAAGAGAAATGATCACGATGCTACAGTACGATGCGCTACAGAATCCAGTACAACCAAGTCGTAAAGGTTCCTCGGGTTTGGTAGCTCAAGCGCAGGCTTACTTAGATCAACATCCGTACGTTAATTTTGAGGAAGAAGAAATTAGTGCCGCGAAAAAACTCCTGACCGAAGAAATGGGTGTTGTAAAAGAAGGCATGGCACACGGAGAACTGAGCTTGGATTCTTACACAACTGTATGGGAAGAATGTTTATCGCAGATATTATATTTGGAAACACAGAAACGATATACTCGAGCAACGCTGGCTTCGAAGAAGGATAGGGTAGAAGCATGCGAAAGAAAGCTAGAAGAAAATCGCATGCATATGACCGGCGAGGCCAAGCGGGCAGCGAGAATGGAAAAGAAACTGAAAGTTCTTACTGGCGGCTATCAGGTACGTAATTTTAGTTACCTTAAAGAATACGTGTATAATTGACGATATAATTTCAGACTAGGGCGCAAGTATTAACGAAACAATTGCACGATCTGTGGGAGCAGATAGAGCAAGCGCATTTGGAACTTTCGACATTTGAATTCTTGCAAACTCAAGAAGAAGCGGCTATACCTCGAAGAGTGAACGCACTTATGGAGGACGTTAACAGACAGACAGAACGGGAACGGGTATTGCAAACTCGGTATGCACAGTTGCAGGATCAGCTGCAACAATGTTAAATATTGTCCACAGGATTTAGTGTAATGTATCATATCTTAAGTACTGTAAAGGTATTGTGAAATACAAAATGATAATTTCTATAGCAGTTCATTAAACATACGTTTCTTGATTCGAGCAAGCAAAAGTGTTGAGATCTCAACTTCATATAATAAATTTTTATTGTCATACAATTTACAATTTTTATTATATGATACAGTTTATTTTAAAAATCGAATTAATTAATAATATATGCGTTATATTACACGAGGACAATACGTAATATTTCAATTTCAATCTCAATGTGATTTATCGAGAATTACAATTAATTTTAGACAAATAAGGATGTAATTATTTATATTTTTATGCTATATATCCGTTTGCGTGTATATAAAACAACACAGAGTTCAGAGTGAGCGAGTTTAAAAATCCCGCAATTTTTCGATCTTGTTCGATAAGTATCGACACCAACAATTATTATAAAAACAAATGTGAAAATATAAATAAATTACTTCAGAAATTAAATACGAACATGCAGAAATGTAACAAAGAATTTATTGTTCATATCATTTGCAATTTTAATATATTCTTAGTTGAAAATATCGAATTGCGATAGTTTCAACTTCTACGCATGCGTCGGCAAAAGTTCGTTACGTTTAAAGTAACCGAATTGGCGGACTACAAGTGCAGAGTGCAGATTTTTACTCGTGATAGTTTTTAATGTTTTACTTGACAATTCAGTATAATTAACTTATTATTCGTGATTGAAACAAAACAAAGCGTACGTATCAATAAAATAATAGTTCAATGTCTTAAAAGTGGAATTATCGTATTATTTAGATACTTCCACAATTCGAGTCTTTTCGATTCGCGAACGAAACACGCCAATATAGTTATATTAATCTTATCAAGTGTTAGTGTAAATGATATCTGCCAGAATTTCAAAAAACTTAGTGATTGGTAAGTTAAAATTGCCTTTTTATGTAAGTTCAAAACTTCTGCAAAATGTACAGTAAATTAAATTTGCTTCAAGATGGTGAGGGTGAGGCGCAAAGGGACTACAGAACGCGGCATTACTTGTAAGTGAAAATTATACTTTAGACATCTTTTTATTTGTTTTTATTAAACATTATCGTATAAAAGATATACAAGTATATCTAATAAGTATAAATGCCTGCATTGCTGTCCTTTATATACAAATATCGTATATACAAATAAGTGTGATAAGCACGTTTGAATGCACAGCACTATTACAAATGAAACTCACAGTAATTTATGTTTTTAAACTGAAATTAGAATGATACTCGAATACTTTTAATTAAAGCCATGGTTGCCATCCGCTATACACGCGACCTAAGATATTTAAATCAGTTGCTTGATCCAACAAGCATTCGACCTGAAAATATAAAAAGTTGTATTATTGACACTACTTTAGTCGCAGACTGAACACTTTAAAACGAAATACCTGTTCCTCTGGGCTTAAAGAATCATTTTTCATTGTCGCTCTCGTTCGTTTAATGTCATCATCCCCGATGACTACAACGCGATACTTATCGAAATACTTATCATTGTGTTGTTCTTTCAATTGATCGACCGTGATCAATGATGGTTTGCTTCCATTTAATTTTTTCTTAACTATGTTAATTTTTTTCATTGGTATCCACTTGATATCTATAATTAGATGAAACATATAATTTTAATTTATCATTTATTGAAATCTTTTGCGAAAATCATTTATTTCACGTATACCTGCAATATCTTCGTCATTTTCTGTGAATGCTTTGTTAGCCTGTTCCGTCCAATTTAACGGTTCGTGAATAAAAACATCCATGCAAGACAAAATAGGTCCTTGATCGTTCCTCAATGCTCGTAGCACATGAATCATTATCGTCCCCAATAGATCTTTTTCTGTGAAGGGCTTCAGTAAGCCCAGAATTTGAGGTGTTAAACGGAAAGGCATTAATTCAGGTATCCTTTGGTCGACGCCGGCATCGAAGGCTAGCCCGAAATCTATTCCTAAACAGCGCCCTGACTCGATAACAAGAGTGTTCTTCAAGTGTCGATCTCCGATCCCTAAGACCCAATGTGCGATGCACATGGTAGCGTACGAGGTAACAAAATTACGACGCAACGTAACGAAGCTTTCTACCGACGGGCACAATACCATCAGCGTTTTACGTAAACTGTCCCACTGGGTTTGACCAATAAGCTCGTTCATTTTAGCTATTACTTTCGAAGCACTGAACTTTAACGTGGCTTCTTTATATCTTTCGTATTCCATCCTCTTATTCGGTGCAACACTTTGTATCCACTTATTATAGATTCCTCTTATCGGTTCATACTTCTTAGCTTCCTTTTCCGACAGCATAAAATGCACTAATTCCTGCAATGATTTGGTATTGTCTATCCACTGTATAAGGCCCAGAGTTTTCGACAAGGGAATCACCTGCATCAAACACTATTATAAGAAATCATTGATCTACATATTTCTGCATGTACACTTACCTGATAAGTAGCGATAGACAATTGCCTTTGCCTGCAAGCTACATCGGTGTGTAACGTTTTATTCATAAGGGTGAACAACTGTTCCAATCTCTGATCTTGCCTCAGGTCTTCTCCGAACTTTACGAGGAAATGATACTCCTTCGCGTCGTTGCCGATCATGGTGATACGAATAGGCTTCCGTACCGATTGCATCATTTGCACGGTAGGCTCGAATCTCATGATTTTCGTATGATACTGAGGCATTGGCTTCCTATAGCCAGTGTACTGTCCAGGTATTTCCACGTCTCTCTCGGAAAAGTTACACAGCCAAGGACTATAATCTTGTAATTTTGTCGAATACTTTGATTCTTTATCAATTGCTTTTTTTAGACCATTGATCATCTCCTGTACCGCTCTAATTTGGTCGGGTGTTTCTTTTTTCTCCAGCATTTTTATCTTTCGTTCGTACGCTGAAAATTCGCGGAAAATAAGCCCTGGTACAACTTCTTGTCCGCTATTCCTTGATATTCCTTGGAATGCTTCTTCTGTAAGTATATTTACGGCTGTAGCCACTCCAAGAGATAAATTTTTTTGAAACTCACACAGATAGTGTATCAAATACAATTTAGGGTGTACAACATACTTCAATGCTGTCAGGAATCGTTCGATTTCTGGTTTGTTGTAGAGAATTTGCCGAATGTCGTACGTACTCGTTTCATTCATAAGAGCGGGATTCGTCTCCACCGTTAAACGAAACGTGTAGATAACTGCGTTGGGATACGTTTCAACGATTCGTTTGAGAATAGGTATAATTAAGGGAGCGATCGATGTTCCCAAATGGGAGAACAATTGCGCCTGCCAGGAGAGGAACAGCCAGGTCTGAACGGCTTCACTCTCTTTCACGAAAATATCCTTCGTTTCCTGATCGCTGAGATACTCAGGTTTCAGCAAACAAGGAAAGTAGTGGGCCGCCTCGAGTGATCCGTGGCGCATCGCTTTCAATATAGATTCGACGAACTGCTTACTTAATTGAACATCGTTTGCACCCGTTCGTGATAATCTGTCGTAACAGTACTTTGAAAGAGTTAAATAGCATTCCTTTATGTTCGTGGTTTCTAAATCACAGCACGCTTTCAGATGTTCGAGGCTGTACATTTCTAACGCCCTTCTAATCTCGGATAAGTCATTAGTTTCATTATTTAGCTTATCTAAAATTACATTATTTTCAATTAGGAGACTTGCGAACGTCGCGTTTTCTTCGCACAGTTGAGCGATCTTCGACGCCAGTTCACTGATTTGCTGCCGAGCGTTAATAGTTGTAGTCTCGTCAAGTTCTTCCTTCTGCAATAGGCTGTGGCACCGCGACCAAGCGGAAGCGTATCGCGATAATTTCTTTTCCGTATCAGTTTCAACATTTCCCGTCAAGTATTTTATTTTCGTGCACATCATTTCAAACTCGTGATGCTTATCCACCGCGTATTCCTTTATTGTACTTTCCAACTGCTTTGCATATTTCTCTGCTATGTATTTGTTTCTCTGATTAAACGCAGTCTCGATTATTTTCAATCTCATGGTAAAAGCAGTAGCACGCATTCGATTAGGAATCTCATTCTCCTCATTCATTTCGGTTTCCATGGACTCTGCGTTGTTTTCCTGCGCGTTACTTAAGAATGTATCAATGATATGCAATCTGTAGGACGTCAGCTTCTCCCATGGGATTAGGGCATCCTGTGGCGATGGCATGGTATTATTCCAATATCTTAAAATGTCATCACACGACGAGCCCGATTGACTCTTCAGTACCTTTACAGATTTATTCAGATCGTTGGTGATGCGCACTTTTTGTAAATTCGAAATTCTTAACTGAGTGGAAAGTGGATGAAGTCTGATCCACTGTTCCCTCGACTCGTCCAAGGTGTTCAATAAAAATTCGCGAGCTACTTCTAAAGAATTGTGCAACAAGAACAACGACAATTCATTACCGAATACTCGTTTAAGGTATGTCGCTTTCTCCTCTTCGACGAGCCAAGCTTCCATGACCTTTTCAACATCGTCGCGAAATTCATCGCTGATGTCCTCGTTTACCAGTTTGCGTGCATGCGCGTCGATCAACCAGGTGAACATCCAATCTTTCCATGGATGGTTCCAAATGTTATCGGAATTTTCGTTCAGCCTACTTTTTATGCGTTTGTCAATTTGATCCCACTTACACATATTACTTAAAGAATCGAATAGACCTTGTAGACAGTGTTCTTTTTCAAATTGCGAGTTTGTCTCGTATGCTTTTTCGTATGCGACTTTCGCTTCCTTCCAATTGTTGGAAACTTGCGCGAACGATGCTGTCTAAAATTTTAAGGGCGATAAAAATTAATAAAAACATGGACATAAATAAATACATACCTGCATATCTTCGTTTTTCATATGATTCTGGAAAATGCTGAGAACCATGTCGACATCGTTCATCGACTTGTAAAGATTAGTTAATTGCAACCATGCGGAAGACGAATCTGTGGAAGCTTCGTTCCGCATTTTCTTTCTCGAGCATGCGGGAGCATCCGGTTCATAAATTATGCTCTCTTCTAAAATAAGCGACCCATGAAAATTTAAACCGTTCGATTTAGAAACTTTTCCAATGGCCTCCAGCGAGCAATTCGTTATACGAGGATTCAATAAGATTTCGAAGACCGCAGACATAGCGGAATTATTCCCTTGCTCGTCCTCTATAATGCGTCTTACGCTGTCCCCAAGCTTTTCCGTGAAGTCGTCGCGTCCTGAGCTTTCGATCAAAGAATAGACGATGGATACTATTATATCCTTACAAATTGTTTGATCGTTTTTCGCTAATTGTTGCAACGTCTGGAGTAGATCGGCGTGAGATATTTCGATATCCGGGAAATCACCGATCCTATACTTCCTGTACAATTTTACGGTGTTCCTCTGTCGTGTTGCTTCCTCCTTTATCATCGTTGCATGCTGGACGTTCATCTGAATCTGATTCTGCCGCATAGCCGCAGAAATGTTGGTCGAACTGCTTAAGAATCGCTTCGACTTTTTATTGTACGCAGGCTCTGGCACTCTTGGCATTTTAAACGTGTTCTCTTCTTCACTATCGATTTCCATCATTGAACTCTCATCAGCGTACGTCGGTTCAAACTCGAGCTCCTGAGTCGCTCGAATGAATAACTCGGAGCTCAGATTATACATAGACGTCGAGTACGTATTCGACGACGTAGCGCTGGTTTGCGTGAACATCTGATTCGTTTGACTAGTCAACGATGGCACGAAAAGAGGAGCTTTTGATCCCAGGTTCTTTGTTCTCCAGCAACCCTCAATTTTGTAGTCCACGTAGTTACAGTCCTGTAAAGGCTCGAACATCTTTTTTGTATAATCCCTGGATACCTTGGTAAGATCAAAGATTAGTAAAAGTACGAAAGGCAAGAAGTTGTTTCCGACCTTGGAAGTGTACATGTTCAAAGTTTCCAGTAATCTCTTTTTGCAGGTGTTTGTTAATTGCGCGTCTTGCGTCCAGAAGTTGCATACTTTGTTTTGTAAGGATTCGGTGGGATCTAACATTGCGTTTATTAATATTTCTCTACTCGTGCACATCAATTCTTTGACTTCGTTAGCCCCGGTATCGTCTGTTACGTACTTCTTATAAATACTTATGAATATATCATAAGCAATGTCTCTGTATTCAGAGAGTTTGTGTTTCGCGTAAGACACTGCCAGAGCTGATAGCGATAAAATGTTCGCGGCAGGTAGAATAGAGACCAGAGAATTGATAATTTTTAATGACACTTTCTCGCAAGGCGAGGTTCGCTTCTTTAATAAATCTTGAAACTGCGTGTAAACCAATTCCTTCAATAATCGATCCACGGTGAAGTTCGGTACGCACAACAGAAATATTTCCAAACAATTCGACTTTCCCTGAAAGTCCACCTTGGGCATACTCGCGTCGACGAAGACGAAATACGTCATTGCCGCAGGTGGATAATTTTTACACAATGCGTAAATACAATTCACTAGCCTGTTCGAGAGGTTCTTTTGCATCTGCTTCAATATATTTCGAATTTTGTCGATTATAGCGTCCTTCCTCTCCGTCAAGCCAGTGTCATTGCCCGCATGTTTCAAAATCAAACCGAAACACTCGCAGCATTGTAAAACCGTTGCCTCGTTCTTTTTCCATTTTTCTAACTGCTTCTCCAGAAATTCTAATATATCAGGTCTATTAAGGATCTCGTCTTTCATATTATTCACGAGACAGATTAATATCAAGAAGACTGCAGCTTCGGGCACGTTCGTCATCTTATCGTTCAAAATCTGAGGTAACTTCAAATAAGGATGCCACAGCTCGAGTATCGTTTTCACCAAATTCATATTATATTCATAAATTGCCTTTGAGATTTCTGCGGTCTTTCCCACCATCGTCTTCTCAATGATCTTTTCCCATAACAATTGGAACAAGGCTCCATCCTCATCGAACACGAATTTGATCGACGTCGGCGTGAATTTACTGTGCCAGTCCATTAACATCTCTAGAACGTCAACGATGATATAATTCAACTGATTTTTTTTCAAATAATGGCACATCGCGTTTACTATAGGTTTGAACAAGAATTTCCCATACGGTTGAAACACGGTCTGCATGTTCAAGATAATTTTCAACATGAACAATCGTATGTTATCGTACTTTGCCAACAGAATTGAATTCTGGAAACAGTTTAACCATTTCGGCATCGTGACGTGCTCGTCGGTAGGAATCGTAGATATTTCTTTAGATATCATATGACTCAAAACACCGCAGATAGAAGCCATACACTCGTGATTGTTCAACTCGTCCTCTTCGAAAGTCAAACTCATACATTCTTCTTTATTCGTGCGGATAGGTTTGCTGTGAATAACCGCTTCATTAAAATCGTAAGCATTCATATCCTCGGTTAACGTGCTCGTGGATAAGTCGTAGCTGTAAATATACGAGTAATGATCGGAGATCTGCCTATCTCTTATGCTCTTCCTTATGTTGATCAGCCTTTTACGATACTTCGGATACTCTTTCATCGTCTGTTCGAAATTATATGTCTTCTGACAGTCTATAATGTTCTCCCAAATCAGTTGTTCCTTCTTGGAGTTCTCGGCGAAGATGATCACGTAAGAGTCCTCGTCCCTTTTGAAAGAAGACAGAATAGCTATAGAGCAATTGTATGCAGAGCAATGCAGTAGTCTCATCATTTCTTTGAGTTCATGAACGGGAGTTTTTAATGCGCGCACGTTCAACGCATTGCTATACAAACTCTGCAAGAGTTCTCTTCCAGTGGACACTTCGCCCATAGCGTTCTGCGTGATTATGCTCTCGACGTTGTCTATGTCGTTTATGTGTACTTTTGCAAACATGATTCCTATAAGATCGTAGCATCCTATTTTCGATACCAGAAGCTGAGTCGTGTCCGAGGTATTCCCAAGAACGCTTTGGAGAATAATCGTGTGTATTTCTTTGATATTTTTCTCGAAGAATCGGTGTATCACTGCGTCCTTGCAAAATTCGAACAATGGTAGAAGAAAACGATGTAACACTTCGAACCTTTCTTTCACTGGTGTGTTCGACTTTATAAATAATTTATATGCTATATTCATAGATTTTACTGCATGGTCAATGGTGATCGAAGCGAAGTACTTCTTTATACATTCATCCGTTTTTTCGGTACATACATGTTCAGCAATTCCAGCAGCAAACGATATTACAGACTCGAATACTGCACTGGATTTGGTGATTGGTACCAATGTTACCAATTTCTGAAAGCAATTGATTACTTTTAAGCCTTTTGCGTTCTTGTCAGAAAAATCCTTTGGACATACATCTAGTCTGTCGTTTCTCAAGCCACGCAAAATAACGACGAATTCCTTGGTCTCTTTAGATGCCAGACACATGAGAAAATTCTGAAGGATATCAATTTTGTATTCTAAATCTGAATTTTCGATCAATTCTCTGAGAATCCATTCATAAAGATCTTCATTCAGAGACGTCTCCGTCGGTTCCTTCTTCAGGTGAATTGCAATCCCGAAAATGCGTATCAGTTTATCCTTTCTATAGGAAAAATTGCTCACAGCATTTTCGAACAGCGTAAAGTTTTTAATAACCGTGTCCGTCAACAATTCTGTATCAGGCAGCTGTTTCTTGTGTCGTTGTACGAACATAAACAATTTTTCCATTATTGTTAAGAAGAGGGCAGGATCTTCTCTCGACATGTCATTAAGCGTTTCCATAGTTTTCTCTATATCCTTTAACATATATCTAAATATCTCGTTTTTGAAAGTATCCAGGAAATGTACACCATGACCGATATTTCCGTAATCCGTAACAAGGATTGTATTATCTTTGACTAAATTGATTAATGTTTTCGTCATCGAAGGCTGTAAACATAATTTTATTAAATATTATTCTGAAAGAAACGCGCGAAGTTAAATGATAAAATACCTGATAACGCATAAGCAGAAATTCCATTATAAGCTTCAAATAGTCTTTCACCGGCGGTTTTATGTTTGTGCCGATGAGCTCTTTCGCCCATTCTGTTGTTAGAATCTTGAACATACGTCTAACTAGATCTTCTGATTGAAGAATCAATCCTTTTATCTGTAGGATAAAATCATTAATAAACAACTTAAACAATACTGATACAAAGTATCATTATAATTGTTCGCATATTACATTATCTAGTTGATCGAGAATGCCATGACGTTCCAAGAAGATTAAACCTTGAACGTAGTGATTAAGTCCACTACTACAGTTTGATTTATGGACAATTTTATCCAAATCAATGAAATCCGTTAGGTGTTTGTTCACATATACAGACAGTTCAGATTTGATTCGGTATAATACAGAGCTAGCACTTTTCTGAGCTACCGATTGTAGCATGTTCCCCACGATTGCAGGAGTTGCTTCGGCAACTTCAACGTTCTTCGAATCAAATCCTATTATATGCGGGCACATTATGCATTTCGCGATCAACTCGTTTAGATCTTTACTGAAAAATACATCTGGAAAGTAATTGTCCTGAAAGCCAGAGTTTATCAACGTTTGTATGAACTGAAACAGAGCCAGTATCGTTTTACATTGTAATGTCTGCAGATCCTCGAGTTCCTTCGTGAACATCATAAAATCACGATCTTTCTGCTCAATCTTTATTCTGTTCGCCACGCAGATGAAATTGCTCGCGCAATTAAAGATTAATTCTTTCTGATTCGAATTTCCAAATAAGGATTGAACATCTAACAATTCATCTTTTATCAACCAAATGTAACAGTCCAAGCTTCTCAAAAGTGGTAGCAGACCTTTATGCGATAAGTTCTCCTTTTTCCGCTGGAGACCATTCGATATTATATTATTGAACGCGTCAATTCCTCGAGTCTCTATATAATTCGTTATAATCGCTTTAAGCGAACCAAAATTTGCCACATGCTCAGAAAGTTTGACAACCAGTTCCACGCATTTCGCTCGACGACACTGGTCCAAGCAACCGCATTGAGTGAGCAGCCAGTTTACAGCATCGAGCAAAGTCGAGTCTTCGAATTCGACGGGTTTCCTACGACTTCCGTGCGTCGCGTTCAACAGATTTTTCTTAACTATTAAAACCTTCTCAACATGTCCGAGTGCGACGATGATTGACGGGTCGTTGCAACCGTCCAAACTTTTTACGAAGTTGTATAAGATTTCCAACCAGTACGTGGATACGATCTTCTCGTCTTCGCGTAGGATAGTATAGAGATGATTGAAAGCCGTGGCGGCTGCTATACGCTTAGAAGCGGATGGATGAAGCGTGAAATTGGTCATTTTACGTACAACTTCCTCGATGTTTTTCCCATTGTTGGATTGTTTTATGGACCATTTGGTAAACTCGGCTAAGCACAACCCGCAGAATTCTCTGAGGGATGTATTGGAATCGTTGCATAAGCCTTGGAAGAGCGAGTCAACGAAATGTGTGGTAGCTGGAGAATGGAGCATAAACTTGGAGCTTAACCAGTGCGTTAATTGAAGCATCAACGGTTGAAACATTTTCCTCGCTGTCTCGTCATAGTCACAGCCTAACTTTAACAGGGCTGGGCACAACATCACGTAGATGGGAACGTATCGATTCGGGTTACTCACTAAATGTCGTGCAGTTTTTCCAAGGACGAATGCCAATATGGAATGTAGTACTTCGCAAGCGATTATTTTCGTTCGCCTGTCGCTGGAACTTTGAGCCAACAAAAGCACCCTTGGCAAGATTTTGTCGAAATAAATGTCGACTTCGGTATCACCCAATTTTAGCGAGTATTCGAGCAAGTCTTTCTTGTCCCAAGTAACTCCCGTGTCCATAGATCTCTTGTAAATGTAATTCATTGTTATATCGGAATCGAGCGAGGCGATAAATAGCAAAACTCTGCCTTGAAACTTTTGTAAAGTATTATCATCTTTCGAAACTATTTTTTTAATAACTTTCCGCTCCGCCTTTATAATATCTTGTAGAAACTCTGTGGAACTTTCTTCGCTATGTAAATACGGCTCCAGGAATGGCAATATTTCTTGTAGAAAAGTAATAGTGCGTTGATTGTCTAAGGCGTTTTTCCACTTCTCTAACGCATCCAGAGCCACGCAAGCTAATTCGAAATCACTAATACCGACAGTAAATGCGATTTTAAATACTGGAATCGTGTCGTCCAGAATGCGTTCTACGTACATAGTGGGCACCTCTAAGATTAATAACAGAGAAGTGGTCAACAATTCATTAGAAAACGTAGGGATCAAGTCCAATGCGTTCATTAAATATTTATGCAACATTTCTAACGTTTCTGTTTCGATGTCGTCTTTGTTCAAGTTCGAAATATGTTTGTACATAGCACGTACTAGTTTATAAAATCCCGATACCAAATGATGCCTATATGACGTAATTATAACTTTCGATAAAAATTTGTTCACTGTATTTTTTAATAACAGAGGTTCCAATTTCTGGATTATGTCAAAGTACAGATCTACCATATTGACGAATATTCGAAAGTCGGCTACGTTCTCAGCTACCTGAGAGTAGGCTGCGTCTGAAAAGACGCTGTCCTCTTTCGTTTTCGTGTCCAGATTCAATTTCTCCATTAAGGCAATGGCCACGTGCATAGTCATATCAATTACGTCCTGCGCAATATTCCCGTGCCGCCCGTATCTATTTACATTTAACAGTTCTAACCATAGGGGTAAATAATCCTTGTAACATATTGGGCGCTTCATGTGGTTCATCGCTCGTTGTAATTCGGCATCCACAAGCAAAGTATGCGAACAAGTCCATATTATTCCAACGTGAACTAAATTGAATCAGTCATAAATTTAGTCAATCTCAATTCCTCGTTGTCTTTAGTCCTGGTACATAAAACGTGAGCACTTACTTGTGTTGTAAAGGAATTCTTCTAAAAGATCTTTACTGATTGAGCCAACGTGAATGATCGTGTTTATAAACGATGTCACAGCAAGATCTCGGCTGGTTATAGGAAAGTCGGGAAATCTTTTAATCAAAAGAACGCTTAGCTTCGTGATCACGTTGATTTGGTCAATAGTAAGGGCTGACATATGTAAGATTATTTCTGAGAGAGCTTCTTGGTAATTGCATATGCTTTCTAAGTATGCCTTTCCTACATCATCACTGTAAAATGTGGAAAATGATTATAGTAAATTAGATTGCAGATTTGTATGCAAAATCAAATTTCTGATGTCAATTTAAAAAATTATATTTAACTTGAAATTTCGAAAAGAACGTGTGTCTTCTATAAATGCATAAAAAAATATTAGTTCTTACTAATTGTTACCTTGAGAAGAGTGGCATGGCACAATTAGTTATAAGAGAGAACATGTTTTCCACATCCTCGTCACTGAGGTATCTTTTACATGGTGCAGCTATTTGACTATATCCGTACAATATGAAACATTGCGGATTTGAATTTACATGATTGCTTCTTATCTGTTCTTCGAACAATTGCTTAAAATACTGAAACACATAGCGAATATTAAAATGATAACACCATAACTCAATCATTTAATAATAATTGCGTTACCAAAAATATCGTTTTATCATCTTGCGAAGTTTTATTCTTTAAAGTGCTTCCGATCATTCTATAGAAGACTCTCAAAGCGTGCTGTCCGTATTTGCTATATTCAACATTTTTGTATTCAGACAATCGTTTCAATAGATCGTACCAGTACTCATAATCGCGGTAAACGAATTCTCTGAACAGCTGCATATGCGTGGATAACAAATTGGCTGCTGATTTCATTGACATTTTTTTATATGAATATATCTCAGGACGACAGAATACTTTAAGCCATTCGTATAGCTCCGTGTAATGTTCCTTCGTCACTTCGCTCGAAACATTCTCTAGTATGTCAGAGAGAACTTCGAAATAAAGTGCAAATACATCAATGAGAGAGGACACATTTGTTGGATCGTACTAAAATTAATAATTAAAAATAAGTATTCTTCGTTTGAAAATAAAGTCTAGAGAGAAACGAGAATATAATAAACCTGTGCTCTGAAATCATTTATCAATTGCACAAAGATCTTTGTGTATTGATTCCCTTCTATATTATGCGGGGAATATTTTGAAATAGTTCCAAGCACGGAAAATAACAAAGCTCTTTCTGTAAAGATTTCGATTGTTAATGCTAAAGTTAATTGATAGATTAGATTGATAGTGCTAGTTAAAATATTACCTTTGATGTCGACACAATAAAATATAGATATAAATTTTTCTACTGTTTCATTCAACTCCATATCGAAGTCTTTAAAAAGTTTAATCAAAGTATTAAAAACGCCGCAGGCAGCTTTTTGAATGTATCCGGAACTTTGCGTTGCGAGCGCTAATTGGCATGTATTCTGTTATAAAATAGAATTATATAATATACACGAAGTAATGTTCGTAGTTCATTTCAATAGCAGTCTCATACCTTGGAATTAATTATATATGGTTCAAATATATCCGTAAACTGTTCCATGATAAACCCAAGCAGATGAAATGCTTCTTTTATTGAGCTATCAAAATTTTTTTGGGGTTTCGGTCTTCTAAGCTCAATATTAATATAATAGAGCAAGCCTTTCTTTGGATCGAACAATTGAGATAGTGCCAATTCTGTGCATAATTCAACGATAACAATTTGACGTTAATTAAACGAAACAAGCAAAATTTATAGTACTACAAGATACTACTTGCCGCTATCATCTTTCGCTATATTTTGAAAATATTTTTTACTATTTTGTAAAATATCTGTCAACTGCACAGAATTCCGCTGCTCTACAGCTTCAACGAAAAGATCTACAAAATTTGTAAAAGAATCCATCGTTGCTCGCACGATTAACTATTTATTTCCGCCTGTAATAAAATAACAAATAATAATTCATTGTTAAAATAACTGACGATAAAGAATGACTTATAGTATAGTATTTCATATTTTTTAAACTTATCAGTCTTGCAACAATTAATAAATAACGAAATAAGATATGTCTTATCACCAATTTTGTGATTTGATTTAAAACTACAAAATCCAGTTTGATCCAGTACATAGATAAATGGATCAGAGGGCAAACTTATACAAACGGGAGATAAGACATTGCAGGGGGTATTTGTAGATTTATCAGAGAAACAGCTTCCTCAGAGGAATGATATTACGAAAATCGTTCTAAATATTTTAACTAACATTACTTGCATACTGAGAAAGCAATTCCTGGAAAAGTACATCACTTTTCAGTTATTGCAAAACTCAACAAAGGAAAATCGCGAGAACAAATTTTTCTTAAAATTTGTTCAGCAATTTTTAATCGTTCAATTCTCGCGGGAACTCAATTAGTAATAATAAATAAGTTTCCGTTGCTATTATGTCATTATCCGCATTTGTTTGTTCGGCGAGACCTGTTTGACGAGTCTTCGCGCACGCAAAAGCAATACGCGAAACCAGAAGTGTAAAGCGATACCAAGTATCACCGATCGATTATAGATTACTTATCTTTTTTTTTATTCCTACTGGAATAAAATCTCGGGAACACGCAAGTCAGTTGCATAAAGATTGCAAGCGAGTTAAAAAGTTGAAGAGAAAGTAAAAGGAAATGAGACAACGAAAAATAAAATGAACTGATTTATAATCACGTGTCATGTTGACGAGAAATTAGAGTTTGAAATGTGGCCAATAAATGTAAGAACAACCAATCGTGTACAATAAGAGCCTCCCAGACTATTTACAAGGAGATAACGGGAGAGCCGGGAGCTGAAATTTCTTTGTGCATCGAATCCGGTTCAGTCGGTTCAGTCTTTCTGTACCAGCGGTACCAGCCGTCCAGAGCGATATTAGACGTCCACGATGAGCGATAGTTCGGAGAACAAAGTGATCAATTTTGGTGCAGGACCGGGCAAACTGCCGGAAGAGGTATCGCGGATAATTAGCCACGTTTCTGTTGTGCTTTTACTTGTATTATTTATATTTGTACTTGTATAAATATTTGTAACTTGTAATTGCACTTATTTAAGCATTATTGTCAACTGATATTCTTTTTTATTTCTTGCTTATTAAAATTCCGGATACAAGATTCGTTAAATATTTAAATATATCGAAATGTAGATTATTTTGATTCAATAACTGAAGTTTCACTTTCGCGAAAGGTCATTCTCGTTCGTTCAACTATGCTTAGCGTCGTTCGTATCAACCATGAGCAAATATTAAATTAATTAGACCCATCACGAGTGATATACGTTCTCTTCTCGGAATAAATCATTTTGTCTGTCGAATAATTTGATGGAATAATATCGACTCAACATTTCATTCGTGTAGGTGTTGCAACATGTACAAGCAGAACTGCTTGAGTTTGGCGATACAAAGGTTAGTATCACGGAATTAAGTCATAGATCAACCGAATTCAAAAACATTATTGATGATGCACAAGCAACGTTAAGAGAAATATTGTAAGTCAAGAGCACTGAACGATACCAGTGAATGAAAATGGGTTTTCCATAAGAATAACGAGTTTTCAAAACCTTGCAGACACGTGCCCAATAATTATAAAATTTTGTTCATGCAAGGGGGCGGAGTAGGCCTCTTTGCCGCTGTTCCTTTAAACATGATGACGACTGGTACCGCAGACTACATAGTAACTGGTAAATTCTCACAAATTCCTCTGCGCAATAAATATAAGCGCGATTGTTTGCACTGAACGAAGAGAGAAGAGTGCAGGTCAATTTGTGTTTTAACTAAAAATGAATCTTCGAGGTTTATGGTCAGCTAAAGCTGCGAAGGAAGCGGAGAAATATGGAAAAGTGAATTTGGTTTTACCCAAAGCCACGAAATACATCGAAATACCTGACCCGTCCTCTTGGAACTTGGACCCTAACGCATCTTACGTTTACTACTGCGCTAATGAAACGGTTCACGGTAAACTAGATAATAGAAGATTAAAGCAGTGAGTGCTACAATCAGATAAAATTATGCGAGTCCCCTTATTTAAGGTATCGAGTTCAGTTACATTCCTGAGACGAATGGAGTGCCGTTGGTCGCCGACATGTCGTCGAATATACTCACGAGATCTTTAGATATTTCGAAAGTACGTAGTTTGCGCGGATGAAAACGAGCGCTAAATAATATGTTATTGCAGTTCGCAGTGATATTCGCCGGAGCTCAGAAAAACATCGGCCCGGCCGGTGTTACTCTCGTGATAGTAAGAGACGATGTTCTCGGTCATGCAATGAAAGTCTGTCCGACAATTTTCGATTTTACTGTTCTGGCAGCTAATAACTCCATATACAATACGCCGCCAGTATTTCAGTAAGCGCCTCTGATAAAACGAATTCTGAAAGTTACGGTTTCTCAAAACGTTCGTATTAACTTTCAGAATATACGTAGTTAGTTTAGTTTTCAATTGGATCAAGGAACGCGGTTGCGTTGAGAAAATGGAAGAACTGGCGATCAAAAAGAGTCAAATCATATTCGATGTCATCAATAAATCGAATGGATTCTATTCGTGTCCGGTTAAACCGGAAGCGAGGAGTAGGATGAATATCCCCTTTAGAATAGGTAAAGACGACGAGGAACTTGAGAAAGAATTTCTTTCAGGCGCGAGTGCGCGCGGAATGCTTCAATTGAAAGGTCACAGGTCAGTGTAACGTAGAAAATTGCTAGCAAAATAATGAGTGGCATTGGCTGCAGCATATATCTACATTGAGAATTCATATCTGGGATATCTTGGAGCTTTAGAATACAGAAACATTTGATTATATTACAGGACGGTAGGTGGAATCCGAGTGTCAGTGTATAATGCTATTACTGTAAAAGAAGTAGAAATATTGGCAGAATACATGAAATGGTTCTACCAACAACATAATAAAAATTAAAAGATTATATTTCGAAAGCGTTCTTCTACCAAAATCGATGTACAAATTTGTGTATGGTATACGTTTTTCTCAATGTCTTATGAAGAGCTTTATATATTTTATACAATCATTCCAATAAAACTGATGTTTATAAACAAAATTGATCCTCCTGAACATTGCATTAAATATCTTATACTGAGTACTACAAATGCTTTTATTCCGTTAATATTCGTTTAACAAAGTAACAACACTATATCAGCGATTTTTTACATGCACACAATTCTCTTTCTTGAGATACTCTCTCTGCAAATATTAGGTCCAGCTGTCTTTCTAGATGAAAATTAGTTTTCCGACATCCATCAATCACAGCTTTGGACCACTGCAATTAATATTTCTCCTTTTACAAATTTTTCTAAAAGATTAAATGGGTGTTGGAAAACAACTCTCGTATTTTTTAATTACCTTAAAGTATTCTTTTACTCTATCCTGTGACCAGCCAACTGGTACAGAATTTTGCAGGTCTCTCAAATTATATAATTTATCTGCTAAGGTAACTAATTTAGCTTTATGACTTTTATTAGGTGCATTCACTATCTGTAATCTCTTACGTTCCATTGTTGGTAAATTTTTGTCATCGGTTACTTCCTTAACAATATTACAAACCTCAGTGCCAAATTCATTCTCTATTTCTTCGAAAGTCGTGTTCGTGTCCTCGACAGTGTCGTGCAAAAGAGCAGCGATGATCACAATCGGATCATGAATCTTGCCTTCTTCGATCAAAATATTTGCCACACCTAAATAAAATCCATTAATGAGTTACTGCGGCTTATATTATTTTTTATTGATAAATTTATTTTATATAAGTGACAAACCTATCGGGTGATTTATGTACGGAGTCTCTTTCTCGTCTTTTCTTCTTTGATCCTTATGCTTTATCGCTGCAAAATTGACACATTTGATTACTATTGACAACAGTTCTGGTTCGGTCAATTTTCGGGAGCACAACGTGCAAGATCCAACCACGGTAAATGGATCATGATTAACAGATGGTATAGAGACAGTATTTTCCATTATAAATTTATTACGTTTTCCCACAACTATTGCGAACGATAATGATAGTGAGTCATTCACTATTAATCAGTCGTAGCGTAGCAAAAATTACTTTGGAATCACATGAAGTGTTTACATCGAAATTTGTTTGAATACGCGTAGAATCTATGATCGTGAAAAATATCTTTTTAATCTATTGACATATAATAATACGTAATAAATAGATATCTACCTACGGACGTATGAATTAATTGCCATCATTGCAATTGTTGTGATTGCGTTATTATTAATTTAAATAATTCCATGGTAGAGGTGCTGGAGTTGCATAAGATAAGTGCATACAAAACCTAGCCTGACCTGACGTAGCCTAAACAGTGAGAAGTATTGTTCGTTGTTTACGTCGTTTGTAATTCGTGTAAATTATTAATCGAGATGTCACTTAAAAGAAAATTAACGCAAGATGATCTGCGTAAAGCTATGAGCGAGCATAAAAAGAGAGCTGGGACTGTGAAAAAGATTGAATCGCCGTTGGCAAAATATCCTTTTTATTACAACTTAATTCACTTTAAGGTTAGGCTTTATAATTCTCTTCTATCGTCTGATTTACATACTTTCATTTATTTATTTTGAAAATGAAGCTTTTCTAATATTTTATTTTCATTCATTTTTGGATGAAAAGTTTTGTGAAATAATAAATCACATATTAAATTATTTATATATATATAAATTAGTAATCATTTGAAAGGTGCAAAACATTATGTTAAAAAGCCTTAGCTATGGTAAATACATATACAGATGCAGGGCAGCTTATGTGTATTTTGTGCAAAACTGTTGTACGTAGTGAGGCCATTTGGCCAGTGCATTTAAACTCAAAATCTCACAAGGAAAACATTCTATCAGCGAAGAAAACAAAATTAGATACAGATACCACAAAAATTCAAGCCTTTAAAAGGCCTACTTCTCCTTCCCAAGAATCGTCAGTAAATAAGAAAATAAAAGGTATATTGAAAAACAGCAAGGCACAATCAGTACAAGTGTCATCGAGTTTACCATCAGACTTTTTTGACAAACCATCAAAACAAGTTAATGGTACAACACAATCGAACGCTGTCGCCTCAGAACAAAAATCAGAGAACAAAAAGGAGGTAGTGCCTGAGAAAGATGTGAAAAATGTAGAAATTGAAGAAGAAAAAGAAAAGAGCAAAGATGCGAACCAGGCATCTCTTCCAGAAGGATTTTTCGATGATCCAGTTCTAGATGCCAAAGTAAGGACATTACATAGATGCTGTATGTATGAAGATGTAATGTCTCATTACATACCACATGGGATTTTAGGTTCGTAACGTGGAATATAAAAATCCCATCGAGGAGGAATGGGAGAAGTTTCAAAAGGTAATTAAAGAAGAAACTGCACAGTCTGCGCAAATTATAGCAGATGATCAAGAAGAGGCGACAACAGAAAGGCAATTAGATGAAATAGAGGAACAGATACGACATTGGTCTAGGTAATTTACGCAGTCAACTGAATATTATAAGACGTGTGACAATGATTTTTTATTTCGATAGAGTAATGGATCTCGTGAAACGCAAGGAACAAGTGCAGGCTACTGACAGGAAACAAAAGAATGCAGATGACGATGTCTCCAGCGGAGACGAGGCCGAGTTCGACGAGTTCCTCGACTGGAGGGCAAAAAATTCTTATAAATGAGACTAAAATTACTGTACAGTATTATAACTCTGTAAATATTCAAAAATACGATATTATTTAAGTACCTCAAAACCTGTTTGATCTAGGAGATTATTGTTATAATAAATGGTTCTTCGTATAGAATTTCGAAATATCGTTTGTATTAAACAAAAAAGAAATAATTCTTACAAGAATTTTTTGTTCATTATTACCTTCTTTCATGGAAGCAGTACTTTTAATTGATGATTCAGGAAAGGTGAATGAGATGAAATATAATAATTGGAACAATTTTTACAGTATATTAAGATTTTATTAAAACGAATTCGAAGAGTCAGAATATAATAATTAAGTTTTAAATACAATCGTTATAGAGTAATAATTCATCTGTTACAAGCTATAATATGAAATGTATAATATAAAGGTTACAAGGTAGCCTAAGCCGCTAGTAAAATAGTGTGGGTACAGTATATATTGCCAAAAAGTTCAACGATATCCACTTTCGTTACATACCGGACATTATAAAATATTTGAAAATCGACAAATGAGAGACTCGCATACTCGTTTAACCCGCACCCATCCACGCGTCAGTAGCTAGGAAGTACACCTTCTATTACGTTAGTCGCTAAACAATATTTCTTCGCGTGAGTCGACCTAACGCCTGCTTCGAATAATACATGTATATCTAGAACCTCCGCGACGTCCCCATTAAATTTCAGGATCGCCGCCTATAGAAACCCTGCGACTTAAACACTCTTACAGTATTTTTCAGCATAGCGCGTAATCTTAATAGAGCTTAATTTTATTTTACGCGATTCTCTTTCTCTTTAAGACCAGAAGCGAAAGCTATAGTTTATAATCGTGTTTCTTTGTATATAATATAAATACGCAATGTCTTGAGACGAACGTATGTATAATAATTAATCTTTCATCGTTTACTCTCTAAATCGAATCACAGTAGTTCACCGTGAACCGTCCTACACAGTTAATCGAACATCACGAGACGGATCATTGAATTTAAGCACAAAACTGCGATCAGGCGAAGCTCCTAATTCTCCCTTACCTCCGTGTAATATGACCCTACAGAAGCTTGTACATCCTAATCTCTCAAACAAGCAGTGTCGATGATTATAATTCGTTTTTCCGTGATATTATTAATAATATTCGAAGCAAACTCGTCACGGTATTATCGTACAATTCGTGCTGGATTCGAAAGGGGAGGCTGTGCAACAAGATAAATCGCTGTTACAAAAAATCCTAGTGAGTGAAAAATACTGGCGAAGACGATTCCTCATCTCAACGTTGACCCCTAATCACCTGGCGAAGACGAGCTATTGCCTAATTTTGATTCCGCGATGTCCCATCGTCGTCAGCGAGAATCGTCTTCTTCCCTGTTCGCGTTCCATCTTATTAAAATTTACGACGCTCGTGGGAAAATGAAGCAGCGTCGTCGGATGTCGAATCCCACGGATGTATCAAAAGTTCGTTTTAAAGCGTACGACTACGCGATTGCTTTGCGTCGTTGTAGAGAGCTCGGTTGGACAATGAAAATCCTGTCGGCGCAACGGCAACGAAAAGTAATCCAAACACTTCCCCATATTTGGATTACCGCATCGTTCGTCCGCGTCGCATACTCGATCGTTTACGTTCCTTCCAGATTATAATAAGCTCGTTCCAGCGATATTGACTTATAGAAGAATTACGGCTCTGTCGTTGATCGATGATACCGGTAACGATTGTTACGATGCGTATCATTAAGTTCTTGCGTCGAGATTGTTTGTAGATTATACCACATGACTAGTATTGTTGAGAGAACAAATATTTATATAATCGACTATGAAATCGTAGAAAAGAAAAAGAGAATGTAACGAGAAAAGATACTCCATACATTTGAATTGCTTCTTCGTTTCCTACGTTATTTACGATTGTTTAAATCAGGGTTGTTTGACCAGTTCGCTCCCCCTTCGTAAAAGGGCGAGCGGGTCATCTACCGATGAGAACGAGACACGTCGGTGCTTCGTTTCGCAAGGGAAACTCTAACGACGGGAAAAGCACGTTAACTACTCTTCGAACTTTACTCTAGAATTCTTACAAACGAACGATTACTTTCCACAGAGAGCTGAATTACAGTTATATAATCCTATCGAGTTTCGTCGCTTAATCTGTACGGGACAGCAGAGGTTCCGCTCTATCCGGAAACGAAAACCTTCCCCGAATTTCGTTTGCGGATCAGATCGATCTCTCTTGATTGTCCTCTTAAATTACGTTCTATCTTAATAAAAGCCTGTTCACCTCGCAGATTTACTTCTATATATCTGTTTTTCTTTTTTTTTTTTAAATTCTTTTTTCAATTTTATTTCATATCCTCGGATCGATGCACGCATTCAGCTTGTCAATCTCGCTTGACCTCACATAAACGATGATTTATAGACAACGTACTGGTTAAAAACGTGTCTCTATATAGGTGCTATACATATGGATTATCGTGGGTGCTGAAGACATAGGTTTACTGTTATTCAGGTGCGGGGCGACAGTAACTAAGCGAGCCGCTTTTACACGATCTTAGTATACGTACTTCGGTAAATATTAATAATAATAATAATAATAATATTAATAATAATAATAAATAATAATAATAATAACAATGATGGTAGCAAGATGAGTTTGTTTAGCTGTACGTTGCACATAGATCACAGAGTGGATACAGTCACTAGGCATTCCAAAATAGGAATCTACAAGTAGTGCAAATAGTGCCAAGCCTAGTGTCGTTAGTCGTCACGTATGTAATATATATATGTATATATGTATATAATAATCTTTCCTCCTTGTACTGGCATATATGTATATGTGTGTATATATATACATATATTATGTATCTATTTTAGTTAATCTCATTTGTTTTAAATACGTAAACGCTATTCACGCGAGAGCGCAGGCACTAAATTGCTGAGATACAATCGTACCGGACTATCAATGATTCTCGTTACTTAATCGTCTAAGAAAGAAAATATGGCATCGATGCGTTTACATTCAGGAATGTGCAAATCGTATCCTCGTGTGGTTGATCTTGTGCGATTACGTAATAAGATAAGTACAGTCGTAGAAACGTGTTTGGTCGTGTTAGATCTAAGAATGAAATCAGTTTCGACCTTCTCCGACAAGTTTCCTTCCTAGGGCGACGATAAAGCATCTCACGGTCGACTAGAAATGAGAAAGTACATCTTCGGAACCGTTCCAGTGCAGCTCGTTCACTGTAAAGGTCGAAGTTCGACGAACAATCGATTTGTCACGCCTCTCGAATCTGACGGAATCGAGTTCCGTTAGCTACCCGCGCATTTACGCGCGTCCCGTTACCTATTACGCGAAAGCGAGATGATCGGCCCTTGGTTTAACGTCTGCGAAACGGAAAGAGCTCTGTAATCGATGGCGGGCTTAATTGTTAGTGCGATTGGTATATTTAATTTCCAAGATGTCGGTTCAAACACTTCTCGTCTGGTCCCATTCGTATTGGCTTCTCGAGGGAAACCAGTTTCACTGGCGAGGAGAGACTGTCGCGCTGGGGACACTTACTTCCCGAACGGTCCTCCGTTAATAAACTGTGTCGACGGTTTCCACAGCGGACACATCTCCGATCCCTTCGTCCGATAATAACGCGTATCGATTTTATATCAGACCAGCTGACGATTTGAAATATCCACGATAAAACGCGGCTAGAGCACCGGTGTTCCATCTTTTAGCTCCGGTCGACCGCGTCTTCTTTTTGTCCGTTCAAATAAACGACTTTCCAATATAATAGAGATTTTCAATTTTAGACGTCGATGCGTTAGAAGATTGATCGTTTCTCAGAATGCAGAGGTAAAAGACAGAACGCGATGGCCTTTACAGATTATCTTCTCCCATTGATTGTTGACCCGCAATCGTCGCCGATTGCCGTTCGTTTAATTTACGATAGAATAACACTTACAGATCGAATTCGTCGATTTACAAAATACGGGTTCTCCGTGCATCAGCCTGAAGCGAGAATTTTCTTAGCGAGAGTGACCATTATAATGACACGCGTAGGTACGTTATAATTTGGTCCAGAAAAAACACCGCGAGCTGACGCAAAGCTCCGCGTCGAGCCTCGCACCGGTCCTTTACCGACCTTCGCCTCCAGATTCCGCTGATTCGTCTGCAACGCGAGTCGACGGCAAACGAACAGTGTAAAGATGATTCGTAAATTCGTAAGGCTAAGCTTCTTTCTTAAATAGTAGAAAAAAGTTCATCTTCAAACAAAACCTAAGCGACCTCTGAATTGAAACGCGTCGCGCAAATTCATTAGATTTCTACTTGCCTCCTCTTCATCCCTCTAACGATTGCCCCTTAATAATAGAGTTGATCACAAATTCGTTTCACCTTCGAACGGGCCGACTCGTTTTAGAAAAATTAACCAATGATTATCTGAATACGACCTATGCTCCGTCCACGATGTGTCTGCGTCTCCAGCTATTTTCTCATTGTCTTCACGCTCGCAAATGCGCGTTGATTGCATCCGGAAATAGTTTGTAGCAGCGGTAACAGTGAATTTTATCGAATAAAAATAGAAGAAAGGAGGGTTTGTACGTTTTCGAGAGTAGACTGCGCGTAGCTTCGAAGGTTCCGGGGGCGGGATCTACGTCTTCGGGTCGAGTATCTCGACGGTGACGCTCTCGAGAACGGTCTCCGACATGTTCTCCGTCTGATTCGGCGGCGACTTGTTCGACTTCGGCGAGACCGCCGACGCGTTCCCGCTGCTGCAGCGGCTGCCGCGCCGCGATCCTGCTCGTGACCCTGTCGACAGAGATTTTCTTGCTCAAGCATCGCGTGCTTTGCCGCGACCGCATGCCTTCGACGAGACACGAAAAGCCGGAATATATAAAATAAAGCACGAGGAACCGCAGCCACGCTGCGGCCTCGATTGCGAAAGATTTTCTACAGTGGCGACCGCAAAATTAATTAAAAAAAAAAAAATAATAATAATAATTGTATCAATTGGACAAACGATTTTGTGGTCGCCGCTGCGTGTGCAGCTGCATGCAATTCGCCTAATGCTAGAAGTGCTCGAGAACTCGAACTGCAAAAGGTGTTTGAAGTGAAACTGGCCGATCGATTTCACTGACAATGGATCCTCGAGAAACGGAAGTGTGTTTAACGCGGAAGCAAAACTAGCAGGCTTATTAATCGTTGGCTCGAGTTCATTCCCAGCGACGTCGATCGATAGATCTATCTTACCGTCGAAACCGAGATGCATTCTCGAATGCGACCCGGCCCCTTGCAAAACTACTTCAGAACTCCGTGCGATAATGGAAATGCACGCGTTTCACAAGTACTCTAATCGATTCTGTTCGCCGTGACTCATACTCACTACGCGGAGGAAATAAAAAAGTGGTATTTCAAACAGATCTATGAACCACTACTTGAATAAGTTCGATCAAGAAACGAACATGTTTTTCTTATTCCCTCCCTGAATTTGATCTACCGTCAGGTTTGCGATTTGGATAATAATAATCACTATGTATACTTGGCGTGGAACGCGAGTTCTACGACCATTGTCATACGCAAGCAACGATCTTTTACTGTAGCAAGCAACTATAATAAGTCGTGATCCTCGAGAACGCTAGAGAGAGGAGATAGACACGGTTCCATTCGTATTTCCATGTGGAGAACTCACACGCTTCTAGGCTCGAAGTTCTGACGTATCCGAAAGAGGGTAAGTGTAATCATAACAATATAGGACTATGTACAAAAAACACACGTATAATATAGGCTAGGACACATCGTAAAATGAAGAATAAAATAGGGATGTAATAAGAAACGTCGTAAGAATGCGAAACTTACCCTCTTCGAAGGACGCGTCAATTTGAAAAGTTTTTTACAATAGAGCACCTCATATGTCCAGAGTACATGATAATCAAGAGCAACGGTCACAGACGGGATCATTAAACTGACTACTGCTATAGATCGTCGACTGCAAAGAGAGTCAAATCCATTAAAAGAGAAGAACATGATTACAGCGAGTTAAGATGCATCGTTCTGTCCTCATAATTTGTCTCGTCTCTCCCTACTGTGATACCACCGTTCGACCCGTTGTTGCAATCAAAGCCAATTTTTAATATTTTCTCCAAAGAAAAAAAATAAACATTGTTTCAGCCAAAGCGTTATCGATAGGTCGTGATTCTTTGTGTTTCGCCTCTGAGTTTCACTTACGAGTTTTGATACAATTCACTTAACGCTTGTCCCACTATTTCGCGATATCTACGGGATTAATATTGCTAATAATATTCGACATTTGATCGTCTCGTCGTATCGACGTTCAATTTACACGACCGCTAAAGACGATGCACCCTCGAATCGAAAGTAAACAACAAATATCTACCCTCTTGGCAGGCAATTGTGCATGCGAGAAACTCTGAAGGATTCTGAGCTTAATAGTAGGATTCTAAAGTAAAGAATAGAGTAGGCAAGTGTAGGTAGTCACCCACTTTATATGTATAAACGTATGTATATATATACTCGGTCTATATTATACATATATGGGATGTTCTACGGAAATCGATATACTGCAAGAGATAGCTATTTTAGGTGTTAGCTGATTAGCTTGAGGAACCTTTCACCCTTCCTGTTACTCCGTAGCTGCGAATTCACCTCGACGCGAGAAATACTTGCGATTGATTTTACGCTGTCTGTCCGTCAGTAAAAAGAAAGAAACAAAGAAACTTGTACAGCCCGAGTGATTTATTCGTCGTGTGATCGTATCTCAAATAAAGGAAGTAACGCGATCAGGTCTCGTTCGAGTAAGAAAAGACGAATCATGATCCGTAGTCTATGCAGCTGATGACGTGGTTCGTTGCATTTTTAATACAAAAAGTTCGTTCATGAATTACGAACAAGGTACCTGCTAATCGACTGGTTTTACTAGTGTACGCGTTTCTCGGACAGATGTTTGCCTTGAACGGAACACGAAGGCACAAATGGCAGTTATAGTCGCGTTTCAGGTACGATTAGAAAGGACTGTTTGATGGAAACTATCGTTAGATAGGGAACAGTCGTTTTCTTAGCACGGAGGCTTGGCCGGTAGTCGGGACGTCTCGATTTCCATCGAACACCCGATATAAACTGGCGCGTAAAAGAGTCGCTTGCTTCGTTTCAACGGGACACTGTATAACAAGTTGCTTGCTTAGTAAGTGAATGAATAAAAACCCGTACGGCTCACTCTGTGCTGTGAGTGCTGAGAGTGTTTCGCACCTTGCGAGGCGTTCGGCGAGTGGGCGCGCAGGGATGCCATCGAGGGTTGCCTCGAAGGGGCCCTGACGCTCGCCCTCGACCCGCGTCTCTCCTGCGGGTGCAGGAGTTTGTTCTCCCTCAGCAGAGACACGTTCATCAAACGGGCGTTCGGCGTGTTGAATATAGTGCGATTCTCGCGCCAGCGAGCCCTGCAACAATCGCGAGTTTCGTTCATTTTTCGGAAAATCCGTACGTCGATTCGATTAAGAAATGATTTATGGGATATTTTTAACAATAGAATTTCCGATAGTTAAGGCGAAGGTATTTCTATGAAAACTAGTTAAAATGACTGGTCTTTAAGAAATACGTAATAATAGATATTATAACAAAAATATTGAAATTGTGCCACAGTTAAGTTATTCTTATAATATGAAGTATATTATTAAGTATAATCAGTTATGTACATTCTTTATCAAATTCTTTGTTCTACTTTGGTAGTTCCCTTTTCTCTCCTTGTTTGGTGCAAATCTGTTATTCTTCTTACGAATAGTAGGTTCACTCTGTCAAAAGGTGTACTTATTGACGTTAGCGAAAAAAATTTTATACAGAAGTTGTATGTACTGACATCCTATACAAGAAAGATTCATGAATTTTTCTTCTAACTTCGATATTTAATGAGTTACATATGATTATTTGGCATTTTATTGATGTTGACAAAATCCGACCATTCCAGCGTCGAATCAGCGAACTTTTGGAAAAAAATTTCGTTTTTCCTCAATAACTCCTAAACCCTTGGAGATACGGGAAAATTGCATAGGACCTTTCTTGTAGAGGACGACGAGATCTACAATTTCCATATAAAAATTCTTTGCTAGCCTCAATAGTTTACGAGTTATTTGCATTAAACGAAAAAACAGTTTTTTGCAAATTACTCGTTAACTATTAACGCTAGGGAAAAGTTTTTACATGGAAATTGTAGATCTCGTCGTCCTCTACAAAAAAGGTCCTATGCAATTTTCCCGTATCTCCAACGGTTTAGAAGTTATTGGCAAAAAACGAAAATTTCGCAAAATCTGAAGGGGTACCCCTTGGAAAAATGTCGGAAAATTTGAAAATTTTTTTTTTGTCAAAATATCGAAAAATGCTTCAAATATAAGTTGTAGGTACTGCAATTTCCTGCAAAAAAGGTCGTATAAAGTTTTCTATCTCGAATACTTCAGGAGTAATCGATTAATAATTTCGTTCATTACCAATTATTGCTTAACGAGTGGAGTTAGAAGGAAGTTGCATAGAACCTACTGTCTATGTATCTGGTAACTATAGCTGCACACCTGCAATTTCAATGGAAATCTAGTTTCTATATGCATTAAGAGCTAATTAGAGTCCGCGTACAACTAATCATATTGCGAATCATGAGTTTGTTGGTCATGAGATCATAACAGTTGATACCATGAGTAAGCCTACTGTTCTTTCTTATACTGTGCCAGCTGTACGTTTGTAAAAAACATCGAAATCAAATATATACTATGAAATAGGAATTTTAAAATAAAATTGTAAAGCCAGTCATTTCGACTAGTACTTTCAGTATTAACGACCACCGTGTCAATTTTAATTGATGTAATAGCTCGATGCCAGAACTTGGCATAACATTGGACCATTTATTCCATATAGTCAATGGGCATTAAATTCACATTAAGCATGCATCGGGGATGCATTATCAGGCAGAGTTATTTCGGTGAAGAGGGTCGTAAAGTTTCGTTAGTAGAATTTATAAAACGAGATACGGAGATGATATGTGTGATGGCTTACTTGCTGAAAAGCCTAAGGACGACACAGATGATGACGAACATGAGTGCCATGCCAACGAGAACTCCGATCATCGTCGGGTCGATATATTGTAGATTGGGGTCCTCCGTTTTCTCGGCTGTAAAATACATTTTTATTCCTCGCGATTAACGTTTCAAAGGACGTTTTACCATATCCCAGGATCGTCGAATCGGTCTTATGCTTATTTCAATGAAACTTGAGCGCACTCCACGAGACCAGAAACAAAGATACGGGTAAAGTCGAACAACTCATCTACGCTTTCGTAGCTTATAAAACGCGGCGACGGCGTACCCTTTCACGAACTAAATTTAGATACTCTTGACACAGTTCGTACATCTTTCACCCTAAGAGACAACGATCAAGGCCTCCGTTGCATAATAATCAGTCCTCCTCCCGCGTATTGTCTGAACATGACGTTACATATTCCGAACGACTTTGTACGATCATTAAACTACAGATTTCCATATTCCGATCCCCGAACTTGTACCTTTACACGCGTACTGAATTCTTAAATGACTTTATCCCGACCGTGTTACCAGTTTGGCGACAGCCTGCAGCGAAACTTTTCATTTATGGCCGCGCCGGAAACGCATTGTTCGCCCAGCTGAAAATCGTCCGCGCGCTTTAATTGATCGCGCGGGAACAGCTGCCGAATTAATGAACTCCGCGGGGATTTTAGGCCGGAATTCCATTAGCGACGGCTGGTTGTTGCCGCGAATGGAGAATCTCATTAAAAAAAAACTCGCGACGAAACACGGAGCTGTCTGTTTTGTTCAACCCTTACCGATGCAGACAATCGAGCCATCGGTCTGGATGACCGGGGTCTTCTCGAAGATGCAAATGCAACGTCCGTCCCTGCACTCGGTCTGGCTCACCCTCAGCTCGCATTGCTCGTGAAAGAAACACGACTCGTTCACGTTCGCCGCTGGAAACAGAAACCATTAACGACAGGCTCATCATATACTGTACAAACTATCACAGCACTTAACACACAGTCGTTTCCCTCTAAAAATCTTGCATTTCTCGAGATTTTATCCGATACACATTCATTCAGATGTGAAGTATTAAATTGTTGGCGAAGGTTGCTCATCCATTATGGCAATCATTGGCTAGATGAAATTCGAGCTGTCTCTTATTGATAATAAGGAGATATTCTCTTCTCATGACAGTGTCTATCCGCAGAGGTTGTTGTGGCAAATCTGATCGGCTTATTATACACCGCACTACCCTCGACATATCGACCACATGCTCGTAATTAGGATAGTGGCTTTAATCCAGTTCGAGGTTCTGATTCCTCTTACAAACTAGTGATAATCGTTATTACTTTCTAGAGTATTTGCATACTAATTTCAATTTACGTATTATAAACAATATAATAAATTATGATGTATAAATTTATAACAACCAGGAATTAATGCATTGTCGCATAAAATTCTTTAGGGATCTCTTGAAATGTCGTGAAGAATCCGGAATTAAAGTAAGGTTTCTAACACGAAAGTCGTCGAGGATAAGGAATTCGATTAACAGCGAATGCAGTGAGCGACGTAATCTGGAATTATGCTGGCAGCATTCAATTTCTCATGACGCTTCTAACGGGGACTGAGACCAATAAAAGCACGAGATCTTGTTTAGATTCCGCGATGGAGAGCCATAAGCAATCAGCCTCAGAGGGTCGTAAAGCCTGACCCCATAACTACAGGACGAAATCAGGACGTGACTCGACTCGGACGACTTCCCATTGTCCTCGTTCGGAATTTTATACGTTTTTACCGTTCCATCGCGTATTTAATACGGGTCACACTCGTCGATGAACGATTCAGATGAGCCGGGCCCGGCACGTTTGAAAATATACTAACTTACGGTGTCCACATTTGTCGATATGATTCGTCGCCTCGAACTCCTCCCTGCAAGCGCATTTCTTCTTCGGCTCGCAATACGAACCAGCGAAGCCGCATTCGCGATCCTCCGCGCAGTCGTCGCCGAACTTCTTATCACCCCTGTCGCTCAAATCTGTAACGAATCGTTAAATGCGAATATTAAAATCATGCGATTATCCTTATTAACACTAGAAAGACTGAAACTTAGTATATACCTATATTGCCCAAAGCAGTCAAAATG